CCCAGAGAGAAATCACTGGGTGGAATAGTTCTGTGTTTCTGAACATCATAAATACTAACAGATTGTTTACTAACAAAACTGTTAACAATCTTCATTTCCATGAGCAACTTGAGCATGATCTTTTCCCAGCATCCTGCCCAGCAATGGGTGTTATTGTTCTTTTTCTTTTTTTGCCAACTTAACAAGTATAAAGTGGTATCTTCTTGATACTCCCACCCACACGCTCTTTTCTAAGTCCTACATGTATTAATAACAACATCCTCCTTTCTAAGCCCTGATTCAAATTTCTAACCCTTTCTGAGATGCTAAATTCACCTCACAAGCCCAACCTGAGCCCTGACCTCTGGATTCCAATGTTTCTTCTTCTTCTTTTTTTTTCCCCCCTAAATGGGCTCTGTGCCCAATGTGGAGCTTGAACTCAGGACCCAGGATCAAGAGTGGAGATCAAGAGTCGCAGGCTCTACCCCCTAAGCCAGCTGGGTGCCCCTCCCATATTTCATTTTGCCCATCTAAACGTTAACAACCTTGACAATAATGTGATCCCCTCTCAGCCCTGAGCTGGGAGCCCAATATCCTTCCAGACCCTCCACACACACCTCCCCACCCTCACTCTGCTCAAATTCTGACCCGTCCTGACGGGTCCTCCTCAGGGTCTGACTTCCCCCACTTCTGTATTGTTCTAACACACACCATCCCATCCACCTCTAACTAGGGAAGGCCTCCCCCTACCCGCCACGCGGGGCCCTCCCTTGTAGCCTCCCCAAGGCCTGTGCCAGTGGGAGGGGGAGGGGCCGGGTCGCCTGAGGCGGGGGCTAAGTTTAGGCACGCTGGGGGGAGGGGGGGTGCCTGGCCCGCAGCTGTGCTGGCCTGTCCGGGTCCTGAGTGACAGCGCCGCCTGGGCCTGAGACTGGGGGAGGGGGCCCTCCCTGCTCTTGGGCCCCAAAGCCTCGGCTCGGGGGAGAGGGGACCCCACGCTCACTCCACTCCCTCTCTAGACACCCCCACAACCCCCCAGCTTCAGCCTGAAGCTCAGGGGAATCGGGGACCAATAGGAAACATACCCGCAGATTTGAGGGAGATGAGAGAAAATCTGGACCCGTTTGCTCCATCCCCCAACCCCGGTCCCACCGGCCCTCTCCGCAAGCCCACCTTTACTCCCCATCTCTGCTCCAAGTGAGAGGCTGAGGACAGGACACTGCTACTTCTCGGGGATTTTGCCCACTTCAGTGGAACCCGGAGGGAGGGAGTAGGGGGCGGGGCCCCTCTGTACCCAGCCAATGGCTCTCCATAGAGGTGGGGACAGCTCCAAAAAGGGGTGGCTCTCTTTGTAAACATCCAAAAGCAATGATGTCTACAATCACAACGGCGGAGGGTAAGCGTATTTTAGAGGAAGGCGGACTCTATTTGCAACTGGCCAATGGATGCAGTCAGGGAAGGATAGCGCTTTAAAAAGGCATAGAGTTTACTTGTAAATGTCCCATGGCCACAACTACAAGACAGCCTTATTTTTTCAGGGGTTTGTCCTGTCCAAAATCAGCCTCTAGGAGGAGCACTCCAAAAGAGGGATTGTTTTTTTCTAGCCGTCGGCCAATCCCAATGCTCAAGGGCGGACTCACAGCTCAAGTGAGAGGGAGAACTACATAAAGAGCCAATGGCAACCTTAGAAAACGGGAAAATATTTTTGAAGGGCGGAGCTTATATCTAGCCAATAGCAATACCTCCTCTTTTCCACTCTTACTTCCTTCACGAGGTTGGTCCCTTTAAATTCCAACCCTCCCACCTTAACTATAGTCCAAGGGAGTACCTTCTCTCAGGCACTTTACCTAGAAGGAGTGGTTCCAATGTGAATTCTGATTGGTCCGTGCTATCGAGGCACTGCCCCGTGATTGGCTCCCGCTCCAGATGCCCCCACGGCTCTTCCTCCTTCTGGTCCAGCGAGGGCTCATCAGGACAAGAGTTCGAATCCCGGGATCGGGGTGGGGACGGGGTACCGGCCTGGGGGGTTCCAGAGCCGGGGCTGGGCTGCGGAGTCAAGACTTCCGGCGGCGGTGAGGACTGAGGGAGTCCAAGTTGTAGGTCCAGTTCTGGCGCGTTAGAAAGAGAACGCTGTGAGCTTTCACCTTGGAGGTGCCCTGAGAAGAGACCACCCACCCCTTGTGGCTTTGGTCCCAGCACCTTCTGACATCTCACCTTTCCCAGCCTCTCCAGCCTCTGGCCCGTCAGGCTCCTCGTCCTCTAGTGGGGTAGAACTACTGGTGGCAGAGTCTTCTCCGGACCCTGCTCCGCGGGCTGCCCAGCCGAGTTGGTCCAGCTGGAGCCCTAGGTCCTCCAGGGGGCGTTCGGCCGGAGGGGCAGTGTCGGGGTCACCGCGGCGCCCAGGTTCGGGGGATTGGCTCAGGCTGGGGATGCTCTCCAAGCTGTCGCCCAGGCCGGGCTGAGGGAGTGGGTCTCGCGGTTCTGAGACTGAGCGGCCCTGGGGCCGGGGGCGGCGTGCAGCTGAATCCCGGCGCGCTCCAGAGCCCACCACACCGTCAAAGGCGATGTAGGAGAAGGTCAGCTCCCGGGGGGTGCCCCAGTCCTGCGACGTGGTCTCCTCTTCGTCGTCCTCTGAGAATTCTCGGGCTGTGTGAAGCTCCCGAAAATCTGAGTCGTCATTCCCTCCTGCAGTGAGCAAAGGAGGGTATGAGCTACTCTAAGCGGGACGCTGACCCACTCTCTTCACTCCCCTTCCCAGCTGTGAGCCCCTTTAAGTCCCGCTCTCACATTCCCCCACCCTTACCTTCTGTGGAGTCAGGGGTAGAGGACGCTGTAGACGGAGCTTCTTCTGCGAGAGGGAAAGAATCGAAGATTCTTAGAAGCTTAGACTGTCGGAATCACAGAAGTGTGCCAGTCCTGGAAACTTGGATGGTCCGAATTAAGGAATCTTAGAATATTTGAATCACAGGACCTTTAGAACATTCTACATACAGACTGTAAAACCTTACTATAGTGCTACCAGAAGCTCAGCCTTATAAATTCAAATCAAGGAATCTTAATCTCAGGAGTTTTCAAATTAGGAATTTTAGGAGGTTTCAATTAGTTCACTCTTTCAAAAACCATTTATTGAACACCTACTTTGTAACAAGCACTGTTTTAGACTGAGAATACAAATGTGAACAAAACAGACAAAATCCCTGCCCTCCTGGGGCTTACACTCTCCTGGCGAGAAAGACAATACATACATATATGATGCTGGGTGCTATGTGTGTGGGGAAAAATAGAGCACGGTGAGGGAAGAGAAAGTGAGAGGGTGCTATTTTCAGATAGGGTGGTCAGGAAGACTTCTTTGGTAAGATTACATTTGAATAGAGCCTTGAATGAAATGAGGGAGCCATACAGATGTCTAGGAAAGAGTCTTCCAGGCAGAGTAAAAAGCCTAGTGCAAAGGCCCTGAGGCAGGCACTATCCCTGGCAAATCTGAGCAACAGAGAGGTGAGAAGAAATGACTGGAACAGAGTGACTGGGAGGGAGAAGGGTGAGAGAGGGGGGCAGGAAGGTGGTGGTGTTAAGGATCAGGTATTGCTTTCCTTTGCAAGCCCAGGTAAGGACAAGATTTTAGAATGTTGGGATGATAACGCTTAATGCTGAAATAACAAATGCTTAGAATTTTGGCATCTGGACTCCTAGGACATGCAAGTGGCCAGACCTGAGAGTGCTGAAATTCTTAGCTGAGGAAACCACAGGGGTGTGAGACAGAAAATGTTAGACGAGGAGTTAGAGCCCTGGTCTCAGAGATCACGAGGATCAGATAAGGTATTTTCAACTGTGGAACTTAGCCCCTCAGAGCTAGCTGGGGGCTTTTGCCTACATGAGATGCTCAATACTGTTTGGAAACTGAAATCAGATGCCCTTCCCGCCCCCCACCTCGTTTTGGCAGCTGGGGAATCGGAGGCCCAGGGTAGAATGGGTGTCTTCCAGGGTTACTACTAGTGGTAAAGCTCAGTAAGGACCCAGGAGTCCTGGCCCCAACCCAGGGATGGCTGTTTCCAAGGGGCAGGATGTTGGACAATTTGGGCGAGGTCGGGGCAGCCTGAGTCTGGGCAGAAAACGAAGGTGGGATGCGAAGATGGATGATGGAGGCTGGTGGTTAAATCCCTCTTCTCTATCCTGTTTCTACCCCTCCATTCAACTCCCCCCCCACCCTGGCTGCGGCCAGCACCAGGGCGAAGGGACAGCTCCCGGAGAGCATACTCATCTCTGGGTGGGGTCCGGCGCCATATCCCAGAGTCAGGCGCGACCCCCATTAGCTATCTCAGTGCACCCCACCTCCGTCTTGACTCACTCAGGTCCTCCGGGTCAAGTCGCCCCCATCGCCACTAGACTGCGGGGGGGAGGGGAGAGCTTCCTTTGTCTCTTTTGCCTCCTCCCCCATCCCAATTCTCCCGCGACCCTGCACGGAGGGGTTACTGGGAAGGAGCCCACCCGGGCCTCTGGGCCCCACACCAGGCCTGAGCCTCCCCCTACTCACTGCAGTGGGCAAAGACCGGCAGGACCTGCCCCATGGCCCTCCTTCGGCCTGCATCGGGACCCCCGCCCACTCCGGCCACGCCGCCCTGGGCCTGGGGCCGCCGGCGCTCATCTCCGCCGCGCCCACGACGCCGCCGCCATCCTCGTCGCCTCCTCCTCCCGGGCCGCTCCAGCAGCAGCAGCAACAGCAGCAGCCGCCGCGGCCGCCGCCGCCCTCTGCTCCGCTCGGCGGGGGCGGGCGGGGCCGCGGCTGGGAAAGCACTGCAGCGCTGGGCCGGGGGCGGGGCCAGTGGACCAGCGGGGCGGAACCTAAGGGCGGTGGGGGGGGAGGGCGTGGGTAAACACAGAGGGGAAATGGAGGGGGCGTGGCTTTTCTACGAAAGGGGCGGAGCAAGGCTATACTACTGGGAGGAAAAGGCGCGGAAGGAGGTTTGAAGGGCGGGGCCTGATGGAAAGAGGCGCGGCCCCTAGCGGAAGAGAGGAGGAGCCTAGGGTAGGGCAGGGGAAGGGGCTCCAGGGGAGAATGGTTGAAGGCGCCTAGAATAAGGGCGAGGATCTCAGAGTGGGTTGGGGTGGAACCAGGGGAGGCATTCAGGAGAGGGTGTAAGGACTACCGCTCCGAGGTACGGTAGGAGCTGAGATCCTCAGAGTGAGTGGGATAGCGGGCAGGTGAAACTACTCAGAAAGTTTGAGACAAGGGGAGGGGCTCAGATATGAGTGGGGCTTAAGTTAATTTAGAATTATGCAGGTAGTTAGGCGACGTCAAAGACCAAGAAGGTAGAGGCAGGGCCTAGAAAAAAATAGGAAATTACAGGCTGGGGAGGGGGCGCGGCCCAGAAGGTAGACGTAACCTACCGAGAGGGGGCCAGGCTCTCCAGAATGTGGGGACTGGGACTGTAGTTAAGAGGAGGAGCTAAAACTGCGGAAATTAGTAGCGTCTGAGGCTGTGTGCTTGAATGGATGGGTAGGACCTGGAACAGACGCAACTGAAGTCCCGGGGCAAGACCCAGAAGTGCAGAGTTCGAACAGAATAAATAAAGGACTTGAAGATTTTGAAACTGGGGGCAGGACCACTGAGGTAGGAGGATCTTAGAGGGACCAAAGCTGGGACCCAAAGCTAAGAATGTAGAAAACATGAATCCTAGAGTTCGTTTTCCTGCCACATTGTTTACTTCTTTTATGACTCAGTTTCCTTTTCGTTAAATCAGAGATTATGTAAATAGTGGTAGCACATGGTAAGTGCTGTTTACTACTATTATTTTCCTGTGACCCAGATCCCAAACATCACTTTGAAGGTGCAAGAGAGAGGACACCCAGGAGTCCAGTTTCTTCTAGTAACTCGACTTGAGTCCAGGTCAAGGGCACAGGAAGGAGATTTAGGTGGTTTAAAATCTCAACGTGGAGGGGATTAATGGAGTGGGGGGGGAGGTCCAGGTGCAGAGGGTGGAGGCTTCCCGATCCCAGGGCTGAAGGATGGCTGCCTTCGCCCGCCTGCTGGAGCGTCTCCTCTGGCCAGCCTCTAATAAACAGGAGTCAGAAGAGGAAGAGGAGGGGCACAGGACTCACCACGGGCCTCAGTCGCTCCTGGACGCGCCGCGATGCGTCCAGCGGCCGCACGGGGGTGCGGCCGCCTCTTGCGGCCTGAGCTTCGGGGCGAGCGCTGTGCAAGGCTGGCGCGCGCACATGGAGGATGCGCACTGCGTTTGGCTCGCGCTGCCGGGGCTACCGCCAGGCTGGGCATTCTTTGCGGTCCTCGACGGCCACGGCGGGGCGCGAGCTGCCCTCTTCGGCGCGCGCCACTTGCCGGACCACGTGCTCGAGGCACTGGGCCCCGCGCCTGGCGAACCCGAGGGAGTGCGCGGGGCGCTACGCCAAGCCTTCCTGAGCGCAGACGCACGGCTGCGTGCGCTCTGGCCTCGGGGCGAGCCGGGGGGCTCCACCGCCTTGGCGTTGCTCGTCTCCCCGCGTTTTCTGTACCTGGCGCACTGCGGTGACTCCCGAGCGATGCTGAGTCGCACCGGCGCCATGGCCTTCAGCACCGAGGACCATCGGCCCCTCCGGCCCCGGGAACGGGAGCGCATCCACAACGCGGGAGGCACCATCTGCCGCCGGCGCCTCGAAGGCTCTCTGGCAGTATCCCGAGCGCTGGGCGACTTTGCTTACAAAGAGGCTCCGGGAAGGCCCCCTGAGTTGCAGCGCGTTTCCGCGGAGCCTGAAGTGACCGCCCTGGCTCGCCAGGATGAAGACGAGTTCGTGCTATTGGCCTCTGACGGTGTGTGGGACGCGATGTCTGGCGCTGCCCTGGCGGGACTGGTGGCGTCGCGCCTCTGCTTAGGCCTGGCCCCGGAGCTTCTCTGCGCGCAGTTATTGGACACGTGTCTGTGCAAGGTCCTGGGGGCGGGGCTTGGAGTCACTGAGGGGAAGAATTTAAAGGATCTAGGGAAAAAGGATTTTGAGGGAGAGGCTCCCTCAAACTAGAGGACGGGTAAGGGTCCACCATAGGGCGTGGCCTGCCGGAGTAGGCAGGGCCAAAATATGGAGGGGTTGGAGACTGAGGGCTGTCTTGAAGCGAGGTAGGAGAGCCCTGTAGTGCCGGATAGGTAAGAGGGAGGGACTTAACAGAAAGGGCGAGGCCTTTTGGAACCGGACTGCCCTGGGTTTTAGGAATGGGTCCTGAGGTATGATTAGTGCCAGAAGGAAAAGCAACAGGGTGGCGGAGTGGGAGGAGCTTCAGCGAAGGGGCAGGGTTCCGTGATAGAGTGAGGCTAGGACAGTGAGGGGGGCGTGGTCTAGGTGTCTGGTCCTGGTCCGAGGACTTGGTTTAGACTGGCAGATGGGTGAGACTGGAGAGAAATGGGCCTAATCAGACGGGAGGAGGGCGCTAGAACGCTGAGATTGTTGGGAAGCTCCAATTCCGAGGACAGGGAGCCCCGAGCTGGGGCATTCAGCTGTGTCCCACCAGGCTCCCTTTTCTCCACTTTCTCCAGGGCAGCCTGGACAACATGACCTGCATCCTGGTCTGCTTTCCTGGGGCCCCAAGGCCTTGTGAGGAGGCGATCAGGAAGGAGCTGGCGCTGGACGCAGCCCTGGGCCGCAGGGTCGCTGGTGAGCAGGCTCCAGGAGCCTAGCGGGAGGGGTGGTCAGCGGGCAAGGACACCCCGGTAATCCTGCCTCCCTCTCAGAGCTGTGTTCGTCTGCTCAGGAGCCCCCCAGCCTGAACACGGTTTTCTGGACTCTGGCCTCAGAGGACATCCCAGACTTACCTCCTGGGGGAGGGCTGTACTGCAAAGGTGGGGGGGGGGGGGGCTGTGAGGTGGGATGGGGGGAGAGGTGGTAGAAGGAGGGTCCCCTCCTAAGAGCCTCTCTCTGCTCTCCAGGGCCACGGTCATTGCTGAAGCTTATTCTCAGCTCCGCCAAGCCTCAGGACGCCCCTGGCAGGTAAGGACCCCATGTTCTTGAATATTGCTCTTGGAAGCCTGTAACCCAGCCCTCCTACTTCTTTTAGTGTTGGGGAAATTCAAGGCCAGATTAGACAAGGGACTTGCCTGATATATTAATAAATTCTCACTCCTAGCCCTAAAGCATTGTGCTAGACATGATGGGGGCGGGGGAGAGAGGAAAGCAGAAGCAGAGAAGAGACTGCTCCTCTTCTTGAGAAATGTGTCCCCTGCATTACTCTGTAAAGCACCATCATCCCAAGCACCACCGCTTCCGTCCATAAATAAGGCAGAGAAATTCCAGGAATGTTTACAACTAATCCCAAGCCCTGAATGTGCTACAGAGACCATCCGGGGACATCTCTGAGGATGGTCTGGGTCTTGGATGAGATAAGTGGTGAACTGGGCTCAGAGAGAGCTTGGAGCTTTGGGAAGAGGTGGTGGGTAGAGCCACAGAAACTAAGGCAGGGGATGGGAGTCAGGGAGGAAATGGGAGGGAGGAAGCCAGGGCTCAAGCCCCGGTCCTTTGCAAGGTAGAAAAGGGAGTTCAGGTAAATAATCCCCATCTGGGAGTGATTGATGATAATTCCTCAGCAGCAGTGGAGGTGTTTGTCAAGATTATTTGATTTGCAATTGACAGAAACTCAATTCCACCTGGGAAGGCGAAACAGGGAACTTACTGGGTCATGTAATTGAAGACTTCAAGGACTGAAGGCACGACTACTCCAGTTGTCAGATGATGTCATCAGGAACCACCTCTTAGTTTTACTTTCTCATCTCTGACATCATTTGCAGGCAGGATCTCTGCACGAGGTAGCAGAGAGTTGCAGCTCTAGCCTCCCAAGTGCCAGGAGCCCAACATCCCCAGCGAAGAGAGCTCACCAGGTTCCTAGTAGCAGAAGCCCTGTTTCTGCGGCTGGTTCTCATTGACCACCCCGGACCACCTGTCTGACCAGTCACCCCGTCTCTGACTGGCCAGGCTGGGCCGGATGGGGACGCCTAGCACTTGGGGCTGAGATTGACTCCACCCAAACCTGATGGATTGGGAGATGGGGAGATAGGAAAATAGGAGTGGTGATTGCAGAACAGAGGGGAGCAGATACTGAGAACGAAGAGGAGGTTCTTATTAGCCATTTCCCACCTTCTTTGTTCCAGAAGGGCCCACATGGGGCAGGAAAGCCCACTAGCACCCTTTCGGACTCTTCCTCAGACTCGGAGGCCTGACAGCTGTTGCCCTTTGGGGACCCTCTGCCCAGCCCGGGCCTCAAAGGAACTAAGGAAGAAAACTCACCTTCCCCAGATACACAGACCAGCAGAAGGAAGACAAACGGAGGGAGGAACCCCAGAATGCTTATTTCCCCTTCTCCTACTTCCCTCTCACAGAAAGTCTTAAGAAGGGAAATTCCAACCACCCTCTGAACTGAAAAAAAAAAAAACCACCCCAAACCAAATCAAGTGTTTTTGAAATATTTTGAGCTAAATGGACCCTTACGTGATCACCCAGTTCAATAACCTTCTCTTCCTTCCAATTTTTCATGTTTTGCGAGGAGTTACAGAAGAGTATTGATTATTAAATTTTAATGATATAGAACTCAAAATAAATTTCTCTTGTAGAAAACAAAAACAACCCAGACATTACTTGTCTAGTCATTTGGCAGATGCGTACTGAGTGAGGCACCTGCTGTGTGCGGAGGGGGAGGGGCTGCTCTTAGCAGGGCAGAACCACTGAGATCCCGCCCCTTCCCCTCCCGCGGCGGGGGTGGGGGAAAGGCCACCTCCTCCTTTGTGGGGAAACACTGAACAAGGTAACTGATAGTATCTCAGATACTGATAAGTGTCTCAAGGAAAATAAAACAGGAGAGGGTGGTAAGATGTCTAGGGGGGACTACTTTGTTGGTTTAAAAAAAATATATATATATATATTTTTTGATTGGAGGAAAAGTTCACCTGGTTCCAATTTCAAAGGGTGCAAAACGGTGTACAAAAATGAGATGTCTTGGGGCACCAGGGTGTCTCAGTCAGTTAAGCATTTGCCTTCTGCTCAGGTCATGATCCCAGGATCCTGGGATGGAGCCCCACATCAGTCTATCTGTTCAGAGAGCCTGCTTCTCCCTCTCTCACTCTGCCTGCTTGTGCTCTCTCTCTCACATAAATAAATAAAATTTTAAAAAGAAGGAGAAGAAGAAGAAAAAGAAAGGATCTGGGTGGCTCAGTCGGTTAAGCATCTGCCTTCAGCTCAAGTCATGATCCCAGGGTCCTGGGATTGAGTCTAGATCGGCTCCCTGCTCAGCAGGGAGCCTGCTTCTCCCTCTCCCTCCGCAGCTCCCCCTGCTTGTGCTCTTTCTCTCTCTCTCTGTCAAATAAATAAATAAAATCTTTAAAAAAAAAAAAAATGAAAAGTTTTTATCCCCCCCCATCCCTCAGCCACTCAGTTTTCCACCTGGGGTTTTAAACAGGGAAGCTCTCTGAGAAGGGGCCAGCCATGCAAATATCCCAGGGAAGCGTGTCCCAAGGCACAGCCAGTGCAAAAGCCTAGAGGCTGGGTGGAACGTGGCATTTTCAAGATGAGGCTTGGGATGTCTTGACATGTCTATGACCATCAAATGCCCATTCTCTATCCTATTGGTAACCACTGTAATGAGTTTGGCGTGGCTCTTTTCAGACCTTTTACTTTGCGTGTACACACATGTATGTGGGAAATTTGGTGTTTTCTTAATTTTTTTCATACTGTAGATCACTTTACAATTATTTTTTTTTCCCCCTCAGTGATACCTTGGAGACTACTTTCATGCTATTTACAAACACCTCATTTTTTTTTTTTTTTTCACTGCTGCCCAGCACTATAGACAAGGGGATCTACAATGGTTTTCACTATCCATTCTCTTGATGGACATTTTATTTATTTATTTATTTATTTATTTATTTATTTATTAAGATTTCATTTATTTATTTATTTGTCAGAGAGAGAGAGCGAGCGAGCGCACGGGAGAACACAAGCAGGCAGAGGCAGAGAAAGAAGCAGGCTCCCCACCGAGCAAGGAGCCCGATGCGGGACTCGATTCCAGGACCCTGGGATCATGACCTGAGCTGAAGGCAGCGGCTTAACCAACAGAGCCACCCAGGCGATGGACATTTTTTTTTAAAGATTTTATTTATTTATTTGACAGACAGAGATCACAAGTAGGCAGGGAGGCAGGCAGAGAGAGAGGGAGGAAGCAGGCTCCCTGCTGAGCAGAAAGCCCGATTTGGGGCTCCATCCCAGGACCCTGGGATCATGACCTGAGCCTAAGACAGACGCTTAATCCACTGAGCCACCCAGGCGCCCCTATGGACATTTTTTTAAAAAGACTTTATTTACTTATTTGACAGAGAGAGAGAGAGATCACAAGTAGGCAGAGAGGCAGGCAGAGAGAGGGGGAAGCAGGCTCCCTGCTAAGCAGAGAGCCTGATGGGGGGCTTGATCCCAGGACCCTGAGATCATGACCTGAGCCAAAGGCAGAGGCTTAACCCACTGAGCCACCTAGGTGCCCCGATGGACATTTTTTTTTTTTTTTAAGATTTTATTTCTTTATGAGAGAGAGAGAGAGATAATAAACAGGAGGGAGGGACAGAAGGAGAGGGAGAAGCCGACCCTGTAGAGCAGAGAGCCCCACATGGAACTTGATCCCTGGACCCCAAGATCATGACCTGGGTCAAAGGCAGACACTTAACCGACGGAGCCACCGAGGTGCCCTTTGATGGATATTTAAACTATTTTCAATTTCTTGCTTTGACATCGCAGCTGCTTGATCCTTGATCAATCTTCTTGTGTACCTAAGTCAGTTTCTCTAGGTAGGGGTCCTGCCACCTGTTTTGTTTTGTTTTTTTAAGATTTTATTTGTTTATTTGACAGAGAGAGACAGCGAGAGGGGGAACACAAGCAGCAGGAGTGGAGACGGAAAAGCAGGCTTCCCACAGAGTGGGGAGCCCGATGTGGGACTCGATACCAGGATCCCGTGATCGTGACCTGAGCGGAAGGCAGAGGCTTAATGACTGAGCCACCCAGGTGCCCCTTGCCACCTGTTTTGTATGGCGCCTGAGCTAAGAATGGTTTTTACATTTTTAAAAGGATGGGAGGAAAAAGGGAATATGTGAAAGATACTATGTCTGATATGCCCCAAATACTTACTATTTGGACCTTTATAGAAAACTTTGCTGGGACGCCTGGGGGGCTCAGTCATTTAAGTGTCTGCCTTCATCTCAGGTCATGATCTCAGGATCCTGGCATTCAGCCCCCCATCAGCCTCCTTGCTCTGCAGGGAGCCTGCTTCTCCCTCTGCCTGCTGCTCCCCTTGCTTGTGCTCTCTCTCTCTCTCTTTCTCTGATAAATAAATAAAATTGTAAAGAAAAAAGAAAGGAAACTTTGCGGCCCAAAGTGCCAAGGTGGCACATGAAAACACTAGCTCTCCCATTTCACAGATGGGAAAGCTGAGCAACAGAGAGGAGAAAAAAAGTTGCCCGAGGTCACCCAGAACTGGGGTTCTCATTCTGCTGGATTGAGTGAAGTATAAAAACTGATCACGTCTACCCCTGTACCCAAAGAACTCACAGCTGAGGAGACACAGTGGGAAATAATCATAACCTAGGTGAATCACTATTCAAGATGTCCCAGAGCAAGGGAGAGAAGGGGATATTACTCAGTTCTTTAGAGAAGAATTAATGTCAGAGCATGGCCTCGAAGGATGAGGTGAAGGAGGTCAGAACAGCACCCAGGTAGGTGGCCACGCTTGAATAAGGAGTGGGAAAGGTGATTCCCTTACCTGGTCAACTGGGCCCTGTTGGTTTTACACTCCTGCCTCGCATCCAGGCGCCACTGTGATTCTGAGCTGTCAGGCAAGAGGGCTCCGGCCCAGATTTATTCTTTACCTCCAGACCTCAGTTTACCCATTTGGGCACGTTGCACTGATGATTTCCCAGGCATCCAGCCCAAGCCTCGGGTCCCTGACCCTGGCCAGGTGGCGCTCTACGGGAGGGGTGTGGCCACTAGTGGCGTCACATGGGACGGGGCCTACGGGACCCGCTGCGGAAGGCTAGGAGGGTGCTGGGGCCGAGCCCCAAGCTGCCGCATGGGGGAGGGGGTTCCCAGGAGCCAGCCCTAGGGTGGGTGCCCCTGCCTCCGCGCCCTCCTATTGCTGGTTGGTCCCGCCATCCTCTGCGGGCGAAACTGAGTCGCGGCGGGGCGTGCGTGGGGAGAGGTCTAGGGGCTTTATCCACACGGGAACCTGGGAGTCCCATCCCCACCGAAGTCCAGCGCTGCACCCCCACCCCCACCCCTCCGCTGTGAGTCAGCGGCGGGCCGCGCCCCCTCGGCCCACTTCCTCCTCACCTTCCCCCGGCGGGCGGGGGGCGGTGAGAAGGACCAGGCCCTCCCCGCCCATCCTCCTCCTGTGCTGGGGAAGGGAGGGTTCACCCCTTAATAACCCTTCATAAATTGGCACAGAAGAGAGATGTTGCGGGTCTGAAGGTAGCATTTAAGGGACAAAATTTGAGAGAACCAGAGGATCCTCTTCGCCGCCCCCCCCCGCCCCTTCAAATTGAATAGAATGTGAAGAAGTGGAGAAATCGTTGGGGAGAGTGAAAAGAAATTGTGTCCCCATTAAGATCCTCCTAAGAATTTCCATCGTGGAAGAGAACGAGGAATCAGTAAGGATCTCTTACCCTCCACCAAATTTGCCCCCTAATTTGGGGGTGACCCTCGGCGTGCATCCCTATGCAATAATGTTGGGGAAGAAGGTAGATAGCGGAAGTTTAGGGTTCCGCGTTGCCCTTTTAAGCGCCCTTCACCACCACCCCCCACGTCTTGAGGTGTCCGCGGCCCCTTTAAGGCGCAGGGCATTGTGGGTGTGGGGAGTGGAATTTTGGAACGAAATGTAGCGAAGAGAAGTACAGTAGTAAGAGTAACATTGTACCCGCCGCCGGCCGAGGGGGCGCGCCGCGGACGGGACGCCGCACCCCCTTTCTGCCGCAGGGACCCCGGATCAAACCTCCAGAGGGAGGAGGCGCCTGAGGACCCGCCCCGGCCCCGTCCACGTTCCCCCCAGGAAACCGGACTCTATGGGGCGGGACCCTGGGGGAGACTGAGCAGAATCTGGAGCCAGCCCCGAACCCCTGAACCTTGAGCCAGGGGCGCCCCGGGAGCACCCACCCGTGGGTGCGCCGCTCTCCTGCTGAGCAGCCATGAGGTGAGCCTAGAACTGTCTCCAAACCCTTCCGCGCTCAGCGCGGGCTCCCCGCCCCGCCTTTGTCCCCCCTCCCCCAGCTTGCTCCGGGCTGGAATTTGGGGACAGGACACTGGGGGCCTCTGATTTGAGGCCGAGCCCCCTTGGACCAGTTCCAAATACTGACCACTTCGCCATGACTCCTAAGGCTGGGGGTGGTGCCTGGGAGGTTCTCCTGGAAGCCCTCAGATTTAGGGGCGCTCTGAGGACTCCCGAATTTCTTAGACTTTTCAGAGAACCTCCAAGTTGGCAGATACTCCCTGCATAGAGGCCAGGATTTACGCAGGGCTAAGACTCCCCCCAAATCTTAACTTGGGGTCTGGGAGGGATGGGGGGACCGGTTTGGGGGTCCCTGGGACCTGGAAGAGAGATTTGAGACGTAGACCTTGGTTTGCTGGGTCTCCCTTTACGTGGCGCTGGAAAAGCCTTACCAAGTGGGACCTCGCTTCTTAACTTCGGGTACTTAACCCCCTAAATTGGGGGGGGGCTCTCGTCCTCCTGTGGAGGTTGGTGCGGATGGACCCACGCGTGGATCCAGACGCAGCCTCGAGGGTCTGGTTGGGACTCCCCTCCCCCGCCGCTCCCCACCTACATTCTGCTTAAAACAAGCGGTGCCTAGGACGGAGCTCCTGCGCTCAGCGCGGAGGGCGGCTCCCCCGCCCGGGGCCAGAAGGACGGCCCCTAGCCCCCACCTGCGCGGTCCTGGAGAGGGAGGGGGCGCGGCAGCTGGGGGAAGAGGGGCCTTTGTCTTCCTGACTCACCTGTCGAGACAGCTGGTGTGGGGGAGCGGGCAAGGAGCGCTGTGGGCCGGCTGCTTTCCCCACCACGCGCCTCCCCCTCCTCTCACCACCACCCCCCTTCCTGGCCATCGGGAGCTGTGGGGTTGGGAGGGGCGCTGTAAAGCTTCAAGGTCATAGCCCTTTCCCCCTGGGACTCAGGCTTCCAAGACAGTTCCAGCTATCTTCCCAGGAATTTAATCCTGGGGGTGGGGAGCCCAAAGGGGTTTTGTCTTACCCCGTCCTCCCTCGGAACTCCTGGGCTTACCTGAGGGCAGGGCCAGTGTGGGCTGGGGGGCCGGAGTATACCCTCCCCCATTCTCCCCTTCCCCCTACCCCCCCATAATCTCTCCCCTGGGGACTGAGCCTGACAATACTATCTCCCTTCCTCCACTCTCTCGGGGACTTCCTGCCCCCAAAGCCCCCAGCTAGAGGGGGAGGCCCCCGAGGAGGACTGGGGATTAACCCCCTGGTGACCACATCCTCCCACTTTCCCCTTACGTTCTCATGCCTCTGCCCTCTGACATCAAGAGTGGCACTGCTTTTTATGACCATTAGACAGTCCCCTCCTGATGTGAAAGTGTTGGAAAATTTGGAGCCAGGAGGAAGCCACAGACACCCTCAAGGCCTCCTGCCTATCCCCATTATAGCAACATCTCTTCAAGGCCTGCCCTGGAGAGGGGGCATTTTTCGGGAGAGAGGCTTACTTCCCTCACCCTCTTCCCAGGGGACTCTCCTCTCCCACTGCTCCCCAGCCCCGCCCCTCGCCCCCCCCTCGCGTTTCCGGTCCCAGGCACGGTGGAAGGCGGATGGCGGATGTCCGAGTTAGTGCTGCCTCACTCACTGTGAGACCGTAAAAGGGCAGGAGCAGTGTCTGGGCCGGCCTCCCGCCGCCCCCCCTCCCCCAGTCCCGGAGGCCTTGGCCCTCCCACAGGGCCCCCCTACTGCTGGATGCGGCCAAACCTCCCACCTCCTGGGGGGTGGGCAGGAATCCCACCAGAGGGTTACTTCCACCTCCCGGAGGGGTATTCCCCGCCGATGGCCACACCCAACTTGCTGGGCTGTGCCCCCTCTTCCAGGACAGCTAGGATTCAAAAGACCCATGCCCCTGTATGAGGACACCTGGGGAAACTGAGTCTCAGAGAGAGAAAGGTCTGTCCAGGATCCCTCAGCAGTTCACAGGCAGTTTTGAGGGAGGGGAGGGGACTGGGATCCTCTGATTTCTGTCTGGTTTGGCCAGGGACAGCCTTGGGGGCAGTTGGAAGACAGGATGTTAAAATGGAAAATTACAAGATATCGTTCTTTTTCTCCCAGTTTGACAAATATTTGTTGAGTGTCTGCTGTGTGCGGGACTCAGCTGGGATTCTGGGAAGGCTGAGAAAGGGGGCAGAGGTCTGAGAGTCTCAGGGTAGAAGGGACTCAAGAAGTATTTGGGTCCATTTCTTTCCTCTTCCAGTAATGGTAATTATTTTTACCTTAAATTTTTTTTTTAAAGAACAGTAAGAGACCATTTGATCAAACATCTGCTCTGTGCCAGGCACTGTATTATTATGACTGTGTCCCCACCCCCGACCCGTGCACGGGACAACTGAGGCACAAAGAAATTAAGTAAATCACCTATTAAACTCAGTTTGGAAGTAGGCAACTCTGGATTTGAATTTAGGGCGGTCTCCAGACTATTATGCTATGACAGAAAAAGGAAAATAAAACCACACATAACATGGTTTTCTCTATATGAACACTTAAGATACTGCAGATAAGCAAAAAGAACCCTTTAGCTTCCTGTTCATTTGTGGGAAACTGAGGCTTATTGGGGAGGAGGGACAAGAGTGAAGCCACAGAAAACCAAAGACCCTAGATCTGGTTCCTTACCCAGGCTTGTTGCAAAGACTTGCGGTCTGGAAGGGTTGGAGTTGTGGGGTGAATTACAAGTTTGATGGGCTAAAGAGGCTGTGGGCTAAATCCTGAGGAGGGGGAATGAAGGGGTGAGGGAAGGGCAAGCCTCTAATCTGGAAGGCTTGAGTAAACCAGAGTGACTATGCTTGATTGCCTCCAGTGATGAGAAACCCTCTTCCTCCTGTTTTGACGCTTAGCTGCCGGAGCAGAGTCTGTGCCAAGTTCCAGGTTCCGAGCTTAGGGTTTTTCTTATCGCTCTATATCCTTACAGCAAACCCAGTGAGTTCTGGTTTCCAGGGCTGGAAACTGCAGCTCAGAGACGTGAAGCCACGTAGCAAGGGAGTGACTTGCGCCCTTTGTCATCCGCCACATGTTTGCGAGTTTTCTAGAACATAGGGACTTCTGGGGGAGGTGTGGGGTCCTGGGTTGGCTGGGAGTGACGGCTCTCTCCTGTCAAATCGAGGGGGAGCCCATGGGAATCAGGCGCACCCCTGGTTCGGACCCGCTCCCTGCTTCCTGGGCTGTGGGATTTTTCCATTCAAGCTTTTGCCTGGTTTAGTTGTATTTTTTGAACCTAAGTAATGAATTAGTGTTTTCTAGGTAATACCTGCCCCGTGGTTGAAAAAGAGAAAAGAAATAAGCAATTCAAAAGGGTAAACAGCACAAAACATCCATTTCCTCCCTCCTTCCTCAGGCAGCCCAGTGGTGGGCGGGGGCCCTCCTCTGAGGCAGCTGCAAGGGTAGCCTCCTGAGAAGCAACCTCTGCCTAAGTCACCTCACCCCCCCGACACCCCCCACCCTCGAGCGGATGTATTTATATCCCCTCACCTTTTTTTTTTAAACCTCTGATCCACACCAGTTTCTACCTTGCCTCTTAAAAAATTCAGCTTAGCTGTTCCCTCATCTTTTTTTCTTTTTAAGATTATTTATTTATTTATTTATTTATTTGACAGAGAGAGAGATCACAAGTAGGCAGAGAGGCAGGCAGAGAGAGGGGGAAGCAGGCTCCCTGCCAAGCAGAGAGCCTGATGCAGGAGTCGATCCCAAGACCCTGAGATCATGACCTGACCCAAAGGCAGAGGCTTAACCCACTGAACCACCCAGGCGCCCCTGTTCCCTCATCTTTAAATGGGGTTAAGAACTTGGGTAGACCGGGGTTCAAATTTGAGCCCCTCTCCGTTCTTGCTGAATGACATGGGACAAGTGTCTTCACCTCTCTGTGCCCCCGGCTGCTCCTCTGTGAAAAGGGTGAGCACAGAGCCCACGCCATGAGGTCGCGGGCAAAGGGGGGGCCAGTGCCTAAAACAGTGTCTGGGACACAAAGCTAACCCATGAACATCAGCGCCTTTGTGGAGAGTTTTTCCTTTTAACCATGAACAACTAAGTGGCGAAGGCGTATGTACTGTGTGCCGGGCAGCCTTCTGGGTTGTGGGGACATAGCTGGGAACAGAAAGAAAAGCAATCTCTGCTCTGACAGTTTGGTGGGGGAGACAGAGATCCGACAGGCAGGATCCCCGCTGTGACTTATGGACCAGGACCAGAAGGAGGGGTTTTCCCAGATAGGGTAGTCAGGGAGGGCTTCTCAGAAGAGGTAACATGTAAGTGGAGACCTGAAGGAGGTGAGAATACAGGTTGAGGAAGAAAAATGCACAGGCCCGAGGGGGTAATCTGTCTGGCAGTGCTGAAGGAGCAGCATGGAGGCCAGTGGGGCTGGAACGGAGAGGGCCGTGGGGCTGGAACAGCAAGCTTGAGGGAGGGAAGGGATGAGATCAGAGATCACACAGCTCATGCAGACCACAGAGAGAACTTGGCTTTTATTCTGCGGGGAGCCACGGGAGCTTTCCGAGAAGAGGAGGGACACGGTATGACTTGTGTTCTAACAGGCTCCTTGTACTGTAATGGGGACACTGTGGCCTGGAGAGGGGCAGGACTAGCCTGGGGTCACTCAGCAGACACCCAGTTCTCCAGCCAGACCAGACACTCAGCAGGGCAAGTGTGCTTGGGAGAGCAAAGTGCAGCCAGGGTGGGGTAGCAACTCCAGCCTCGGGCTCCTGGCCAGAGTCTGCCCTGGGTGTGGGTGGCAGGTGTGGGCGAGGTCCTAACCTTGCCCTGCCAAGGGCACTGGGAGCCAGAAACTGTCCCTGCGGCTACACTTGTCTGGAAACAGCACCTGAAATTGGGGTAGGGCCCACGCAGTCTCCGGCAGTTAAGACTGGGGACCTGAGAGCCAGGTGGCCCGGGTTCAAATGCTCACTCTGCTGCTTACCAGCTGTGTGATCCTGGCCAAGTCACTTGACCTCTCTGGGCCTCCAGTTACAGTCCTCACTTGCAAAACGAAGATGAAATAGGGCCCAGCTTGGAGGGCTGCAGTGAGAATAAAATGAGTGTCTCTGGAAAGGGCTTAGAGCGCCGGACTAGCCCAGTAAGAGGAGGTGCATCAATTGTATAAATTTATGGGGAGGAACAGGGGAGGGGGTGGTGCTCAGCTTCCTGGCCTAGGGACCAGGAGCTGGGTCTGCCGAGGGGCTTTTCCTGTCCTGCCTTTTACAAGGCTAGTGTCACACCCCAGCCCCCAGCGCCGGCCGAGACAGAGCCACGGCCCGTGCCCGGTGTAATTTATCTCCCCGGAAACCCCTGACCACCAACTTCCTCTTTTCAGGAAAAAGTCTGCTGGGGGTTGGGGTGGGGTGGGGACTAGTGCTTCCCCCTGGTCTGTGTGTGACCTTGGGCAAGTCACTTCCCATCTGGAAGCCTGAGTTTCCTCATTGGGGGAGGGGGCTTGGGACCAGCCCAGAAGGACTGGTGGGGGCTCCCCGGCGTGTTGTGTTCAAGGTGCCCTGAAAGGGATGCTGACAGTTACTAAGCACTCGGTACGTGCCAGGCATTGTGCCAAGAGCTTTCTGTGCCCAGACTCCATTTTTCCCTCCCACTGCCCTGCGAATCGGCTGGAAGACCCCCACTTTGCCGGCCAGGAAGAAGAGTTACCTGGGTGGGAGGGTGGCTTCCCTGAGTCACATGGAGTAGGCGTCTCAGTGAGGATTTGAACCCAGGTCGGTCGATGTGAAATCCTGAACTCTGAACCAGTTTCCTGACCCTTCCCTGCCAAGCCTGAGTCAGATGACGCTTTCTCCAGGAAGGCCTCCCTGACTCCCAAGCCAGGGCAGGTGCTCCTTCTGGGCACCCCAGCCCTGGCCTTGGGTTGGCACCATCTGGGGACAGGAGTGTCTCCTGCCCTGGAGGGCGGGGCCGGGGCTGTCTGGATCATTGCCCAAGACCTTGGCTTGACAGAGCAGGGAGTGTCTGTTGATGGCCGCTGGTGCCCCAGGGGAGCCGGATGGATGGGGCGGAAGAGCCTGGGATCTAGCATCCATGCCCAGCGTCCTGCAGACCTCACCCTTCCCT